ATATACACGTTGATCTGGCATTTTTAACGCCATCTTCCAGATTCTTCCATTATTTAATTCCCTGGACTGAAGGACTCTGTTCCTTCAAATTTGCTCTAACTTTAGGTTTGAGAAACATTTCTATCCCCTTCAAATTGTAACAATTTACTCTTTTAACAAAATGCATTTGGGTGTTTGAAAGTAATATGTTTTTATGAGCCCTGTACATAACTGACAAAATACTATAATCAACCAAATCAGAGAATTTCAATAACTTCAACTGAAGGAACAATGAATTTAATGGGTGACTGTAATGCTTTCTGGTAATAATTCTTATAGCTCTTTTCTGTAACATAAAAACAGGATTTGTTATTGTTTTACATGCAAACATCAACACAATAAATTAAATGCGGAACAATTATTGCATTATACAATATAAACAGAGCTTTATCATTAAATAAGTCCTTTACTTTGTATAATACTGCAATGGATTTGGCTATTTTGTTCGTAAATGATTTATGTATATATTTAAGTATACATATATGTAATATATGTATATGTATTGCACCAACTTTCATTCCAAGAAATTAAACAAACCCATCTTTCTGTGTTGAAAAAATGGCAGCATTATGGTTGTTTTAAGAATACATGTGATCTCAATGCAGTATTGTTCCTGTTAATGCTCTCTAATGTGTTGGACACCACATCAATCGTTAGGTCAGTTTATGTAGAGCTGTCTGAGTCAAAGCCATTTTGTGCTACTAAGATCAGTTGGCTGTGGCGGCCATATTGAATTAGGTTGAATTCAAAAGTTAAAATACATGTCCAGTGATTACTGTCTGAGAACTTCATGAAGATATAATCTGTGGTTCATTAAATATTTCAAGACAAATGGACATATTTAAACACAGACACAACACTTAGCAATAAGTAATGTACTTGAAGTTCATTTTAACAAGTACACCTGAGTATAAGTTTAAGTATATCAAATATACAATGCAACATGTACTTGTAGTGTACTAGAAAGTATACTGGTTTAATACTTGTTCATACTAAACTGTGACTTTTTTAAAAAGTTTATAAATAGTACACTTTAAGTATTTTTTATATTGTCTTTTTAAGTTTATAAGCTTACCAAAAAGAAGTATATTTTAAGTACATGTCATTAAGTATACTAAAGTATATAAAATGTACATCTACAATGTACCTTTATTTACCATGTACACTGATATCAGTATACTAGCAGTTTACTAACAAGTAAACTTATAAGACTAAATTGGCCCGCAATACGTTTATGAAAGTACACTCAAATATACTGAAAGTAATAATAATAATAATAATAATAATAATAATAATAATAATAATAATAATAATAATAATAATAATAATAATAATAATAATAATAATAATAATAATGCATTTTATTTGAAGGCGCATTTCATGGCACTCAAGGACACCATTAAATGTAAATACAATGCAATAAAACAAAAAAAAAAATAAAGCAAAGAATAAAATAACAATAAAACATCATAGCTTACATAACAATTAACAATTAAGAAAATAATCTTCTAAGTACACTTTTAGTTTAATCTTGAAATGTACTTCAAATAAAGCAGTCTGTGTGAAAATGTACTTTCAGTGAAAGTTTATCTTGGCCAAAACTTAAAACATAAACTTAGCATACTTAAACTTTTAGTATACTTTTAGTGCAAGCCAAGCATAGTGTAAGATAAACTTGGATATATCTCAGATAAAGTAAACTGGAAGTATACTCTTTTCTCTTTAGTTTAAAATCACTATATTGAAAGGATACTTGCATATACTTTTTTACTAAGGGAAGCAATTACTCTATTGCCCGTCAGTGATGGCAGACAATAACTATCAGCAGAGAACCAGTACTGAGGCACAYGACTCATTTTGGTTGGCTCACCAGTTACTCTGTGAGTTATCTGTACTTAGATTTAATAATAATAATAATAATAATAATAATAATAATAAATATATGAAGTTTTGTGCTCAGGGTGCTACAGCTCAGGAGGCAGGCTTCCAAAGATGAGTCTTGTTTCATGTTACCATGTGTGTGTGAATGTTACCGTGTCGTGAATCATCGACTCTCTCTCATTTGTAATGAAGCAAGCTAAAAATACACACGTATGAAGTCACCGGTCTTTTATTTTTGCCTGCTGCCAGGAGGTTTTGGYGGCAGAAGGATGATTAAGTGGTTTTGAAATTTATCAGACACTCGCCAGGAAGTGAGAGAGGACCACAAACAGGAAGAAGTGGAATGTGCTTCCTGTTGGCCGGTGGCAGATTCCATGTACCATCATGACCGCTGCACCGATGTAACAACACACACACACACACACTAGGAGGCAGGAATGTTTTTCTACTGAAATCAGGGAGAAGCAGACTGTCAGGAAAGACAAACAGTAAGAGAAGATAACATTGAGACAGTGTGTCCTTCGTGCTGAGCTGCAGCGGAGCACAAGTTTAACTCAAGTTATCTTGAGGAAACTTTTTACTTTAAAATGTGTTTTTTTWTCTTTACTGTAAAGGGGGTACAACTACAACCTCTAAGAAAACAAAGTGATACAAAACGACAGTTTCGATCCATCATTAATCCTTACAAACGTTTTGAGTAAAGCTTCAGGAACAAATTGTCGACTTAAAAGTTCTGAGATGAAGCTGAACCAAATAAAAGACGTTAAATTTATTCCATTTACTAAAATCAGTATTTTAAATTAATGGTGAAGGAATACATATCGCCCAAACCTTTTATGTCAGAGCTGTATTCAAGGTTTTGAATAATTAGCGTCTTACCTGTTGCAGYTAGTTCTTTGTACAACCTCCGTTTCAGAAATACAGTTTAATTCTGACTATATTAAAGCGCTAACTGAACTGTGTGGGGCCAAAACCAACATAAGATTGGTACCATGTTAAAGGAAACGTGCTTTTAAATTCTTCGTTTCCACACTTGAGTCATTCAGTCTGAACTCCACAAGCCTCTCTTTCACCACTTTTCTGACGTGTCTCAGATCAACACGTTTTAAGGCTGTCTCTTTAAAGCCAAACACCTTGCCCTCCCTCCAGCTTCTAGAGCTGTTTATTGTACTTTGAGACAGGGGTTATCTATTTAGCGGTATAGAAACTTCTGTTTTATGAGAGGAGAATAAAGATGAAGAAATTGTTTTTAGTAAGTCCAGACCTAGTGACAGCTCTGTCACAAATTCTATAACKGTACAGAAAACGTTATGAGTAGACAAAACTGAACTTGTGAAATATTTTTTATATTTTCATAAAATCCCACTTTTAAGGACTTAAGTTTAACAATAAATGTGAACATTCTTTATTGGACAACCAGTCATATAACAAAAAAGTATAATTTTCTTAATACGTATTAAGAAGAATATTAATGTATATACTGTGCGTCTGATTTTCTGTACAGACAAGCATGAGGGCGTTCAGGGCAGCTGATCACAGAGCAGCGTGCGCTGCTGCGTATATGAAATTAACATTGCTTGTCCTTGAGGTGCTTCCTGATTGAATCACGGAGGCCCGGTGACGTCATGCGAGGTTTAAGTTATATTTGGGATGGAAGGGAGAGGAGGTTAGAGGGAGAAAGAGATGGGGATGAGTCACTTCTCCGCTGATGACTGCCTCCAATGAGTGGTCGGGTAATTCAGGTACAAAAAGAGACGCAGAGGCACAACACGACCGCCTAATGGTACTCAAATAAAATGACTTATTGGGAACTCGCAAAATACACCTTTTAAGAAGATTAAACAGTATTGATGCTCCTCTCCCCCTTCCTCCCCCTCCCCATGCTGCTCCTTTTAAATGGGCCTGGTGATGATGAATCCAGTTACTCTGAATTCAATTTATGAGGATTTAGAAAACGCTGATTTTTCTCTGCTGTCATGTGTGCTCTTTTTGATCCATTTAAGAGCTTTGATCTAAATTAATGCTCCACACTGTTGAATACACTGAATCTGTGATTGATGAATGAGTTACACACTTTATAGTCACGGTTGGATTACTGATCAGGCCTTCTACATTTGAAGGTCAGACTCAATGCTTGAGCCTGGGACACTATTTTAAGTCACTTTCAATTTTTTTAATAAAGAAAAAACAAAAAAATTTAAAACATTAAAAAAAGTATCTGTTGAAATGTATATTACCATGCCAGAGTTTTGAACTAAGATCAAGTTATGATTAGAAGGAATGGAGTTACAGTTTAGTCAAACCTATAAAACTCATGTGACTGCACAAGATCTCTTAGTGAGTAAAATATGTGTTGAGGATTACTCTCAGCTACCACCACACTGGATCCTAATTCAGTAATAGCCATTTTTGCTTTGGCTAAGATTAATGACCTGCAGTAGCCATCTTGAATTGGGTTGGCGCTAAAAGTTAAAGAGTTGTAGGTGTACATTCACATATTGTGCTCTAAAAGTTTCAGTATAATCTATCAAGTGGTTCAAGAGATAGTTTGCTAACAGACAGGTAAAATTATCAAAACAGATCTTATGTGATCAATTAGAACTTGAGTATCAGTTGGGATTACTCACAGCTACTACCTTACCAAACTTTAGCTCTGTAAAAGTTATTTTTGTGTTTGCTGTGGAGGTCATCTTGAATTGAGTTGATCAAAAAAAGGTAAATGAAGGTTTCATTATTATCCGTTCAATAATTCATTCAATTTTTTTGCTAATATTCACAAGAGCAAAACACATTTTTGCTCCACTTTCTGCTGTGGGGTAAAATAAGGATGGGGAAAAAATAGCAAAATAAAAATTTTTATTAGCTAAATTGTCCAGTTTTAACTTGAAGCAGTGAACTGCTTAACATAAAAAAAATCAGAATTGACATTTTAACAAACCTTTTCCAAAATCGGTGTGTAAGAACTTCTAAGATATATTTTTCTTGCACAAACCGAGAAAATATTTTAACATAGCACCAACTTATGTACGGGTCAAAGGTCAAGTCAGCTGCAATAACAGCAACCCTCCTGCAGGGGGAGCTGAGTTACCTCAGTAAAAGTTTGAAACTACAGATAATCTCCATCATTATTTGTCTGAAGGTACAGTAAATGCAGTCAGTTAAATTTACTTAACTAAATAAGATCTTTTTTGTCATTTCTCAACTGGTTTTATATCTTTGCTGACTGAATGACAACAAACAAAATAAAAACAAACCAAAACAAAACATGGAAGTTCAGCTCAAAATAGGTTTGACTACTGGGTGATAAAAAGTTTTGAGTAATTAACACAAACTGAACTTAAGGAAACAAACATTATCCTAATCAGCTTTTAAGCATAAAATAAACCATAAGAGATCAGTAAACAAGACAGTTTACTAAAATAAAGCAAATGGCTCCCTCTTGTGGTGAAAATATGGTACTGTAAGTCACTGTTAACAGTCAAACACATTTAATCTGAAGAAACTCAAACACAAAAAACAGCAATGAAACAAGAACGCATCGAAATAAAAAAACAAACAAAAAAAGTGCTTCTGATCCTAAAGTGAGTCTAAAGTGTTCACATATCAAAAGAGAACGAAATCACATCCTGACACCTGATCAGCGCCTCTTTCTGTACCCCGATGGGAGTGTGCAGATCAGACACCTGGAAGTTCAGCACGTCGATGTCCGACGCCCCAAACGTGGCCTGAACTTCCACCTTCTCGTGCATGTGGAACCGAACCTTCTTGTTATTCATGGCGAGCAGACAGCGTAGGAAACGTTCCCTCAGCACAGATCGGGCGTGCTGCTCTTTCTGCAGCTCCTCGGCGTCCGACTCCGACGCAGTCGAAGTGGAAATGGATGTGCGGCAGAGAGCGAGGAAGCGAGGTGACTTGGGGTCAAATCCTCGGCTGTTGGGGTCAGGTCCTTTGGGTAGACGGATCACAGACACCGGAGTCGCCATGTTGACTTTTTGCTAACACCTGGGGGGAACGACACAGCTTAGTCTGACTCACTTTTTCCACATATTCTTATTAGGTGTGAGCGTAAGACCTGTTTTTTTCTTTTTCCTTTTACAAAAATAGAATTTATTGCTRGGAAACTGTTTCAACATCTTTGTATTCAGTGTAGAACTACTTGGACATGTTTGATAAGAGAAATGTGTTTTAGATTTTTGGTCAAATATGTAATCTGTAAAAAAGGGAAACCCAAGTTTTGTCTCTCCTGTGAGAGATTCTTTTATTAATCTATTTTTTGTTAAAATTATGTATTTGCTCAATTTCTTTTGTTTAATGACAGCCACTGTATTTCTCCGAACACAGTTAAAGTACTATTATACAACAAAACAAACAAAAAGTATGTTGACATTTCCTAATCTACTTTTAACATAAATTAAATACTTCCAATTAATGTTTTTGTATTTTGAAACATAAATCAAATCTCCACTAGTGTTTTGTTACTTTCCAATACTTGTTTATGATGAAGAAAATCCACCTAACTAAAACATGCACGGACAGTTTTCACATGTCGTCATTTCCCCACCAGCACATCTTGCCACAGTTTSAGGATTACTCAATATACTTGGTATTTTTAATAACAAGATTGCACGCCAAAAAAATAAAATTCTTGCTTTGTTTTTGTCACTAATCGCTCCTCTGATTCATATCTACTACCTTCATATGGAAAGAAAGGTGGAATCATGTCAGGACTTGTATACCTGTATGCTTTGATGTTCTGACACATTTAAGCAGTGCAATTATTGGAAAGAAAACACAASAAAAAAACACACAATGCAAATACAAAATCCTGCACAAGGTTGAATCTATGTTTTTAAAAAGTTAGTAAACCACTGGAGTCCTTACGATGATTTAATTTTAAACATATGGACTTCCTGTTATTAGTGTAAAAATAATTTAAAAAACAAATTAWTGTAACCTATTAATGAAAACATAAGCAGATTTATGACAATTTCTGCACTAAAAATGCTTAAGAAGAATATATTAATATTTATTTGTACCTAATGACTCGTACTCCGTACTACGGAGCCTGTCTGGTGACATGGATAAAAAAAACTATCACGTGCCCACGAGATAATTACGTGGTGGCCACCACATAGCTAATTATTATTGTCATTTACGTGCAGACTATTTGTTGTTTACATGGAAATTACCCAATTTATTTTTATTTTAATAGAATGAATGACGTTGCTACGTCAGCTCCTTACGTTAGGCGTGAAGTAGATATTTCTTAAGTCCCAGGTGACAACAGGACCCCATTTCAGAAAGCAGGCTTAACAAACCCCGGGTTAACGCAGAGACTCTGAGTCAACTTACCCCGCTCTGTGACACTCAGGATGTTCTGTTTCACAACAGGTGATATCAGTTGGATAACTTAATTCTGAGTCAAGTTACCTGAGTTCAGTTGGAGCACGAAGCCCTCATCAATAGAAGTCAGATAACGGGATTCACAATGGCAACAGGAGAAAATAAAAAGATCAGAAGTCCATTTCTTGCTGGAACTAGAAATATTAATGACGGCATATAGAGAATATCAACATATATTTAAAAAAATTAATTAAAAAACACAATAGCGTTGCTGCTGCAAGAGGAAAAGGAGTTGTGTGGCAGATAATTGCTGATTAAGTCAATCTAAACTTTTATTCTTCACAATTATTCAAGTGTGAGTGCGCGCGTTAAATATGTGTGTAGGTGAACTCTTGTACCAAACAGACATGGCAGCAAATAGGCTAAATATAAAAACATAGTAAAATCAGTTYGGTCCAGGTATAAGCTCTTATGTTCAACTGTTAACAAATAAATTACAAAATTCTGCTAAATTCAACACATGAAATTAATGTGTCTGCCCCCCTCCAATAAATAAATAAAAAATTAAATACAATGTGTACTACCCCATCTTCCCTCTGCCTATATTTAATATTGTACACTTGAAAGTAGCATGATAATGTTAAGATATGTGTCTAATTAGTTCAGTGATTGTAGGTGATTAAGTCTGACCTTCATTTACATTGGAATGCAGTAAACTCTATTTAGTGTTTCAGAGGATGATGATGAAAAAAGTTTGTCTGCCACAGTGAGGGAGCAGAGCCAGGTGCATACTGAGATGTTCCATAACGGTGTAGGTTTAAAGTTTATTTTTCATTGTGTAGCATAATGATTGTAAACTTTTCACAAGAAGAGCTGTGATGGACGATCAGCTGAAGAGGCTACAGCTACCTCTGTAGCTCAACTTTCTTCTGTATTTTATTGTCTTCCCCTAAAAAGTTTACTTCATTTAAATGGCCACATTAATTATCGCGTTGTTATCTTGTAGCCACGTGATAATTTTTTAAATTCCATGTCACCGGACGGGCWCAGAATCYAACTGTGTTTTAATGAAATAATTTATACGCCTAAAATATATTTTACGTAAAAGTATCTTACAAATCTATTTAAATTTTAGTTTGAGGCTTCTTCAAAACAAAGAAAGCCCAAACATCGCTAAAGTCAGRATCTCTTGTTGTTTTGTTGACAAATAACTTACAATGAGATAAAAAGTAGACAACAGTAACAGCAAAATATGCTTTTCTTCCCTACTCATAAATCACTGAGCAAACACAGATAAAGTTAGAAACTCATCTGAAGTATTTTTACTCACTTGGTACTCGCCTGTTTGAACATACGTGTTAGCGTTAGCTTTAGCTTTAGCATAGCTGGTCAACTTCTTCGTGAGACGCATTATGGAGGCGCGTTGTCGCCCCCTGCTGGATAAAACAAAACATTTTCAGAGGAAATCTGAGGCAACTGTGTTATTGACTTCTTAAAACTGTTTTTCTGCACTGTGCAAATAAGAATACACATTTTTACGTTGATTTATTATTATTATTATTATTATTATTATTATTATTATTATTAAAAAGCTAAATGTGGCATAATGGCATAATTTAAAAATAAAGCTGTTTTAGCTGTTTTAGCACATTGTCTTAGATCATTGCCTTTAAAAGGATCCTCAGTTTGACAAAAAATGTAATCTAAACTAAACACAAAACAAGCAAATAAACAAGAACAACAAAAACAATATTTGAGATATTATCTCAGACTACAACTGATTACTTAAGACTTATTTTCTATACATTTCAATAGACATTTATTTACAAATACAAGTTGGCCATAATAGGAACATGAGTAGGATAATTGTTTAACCTTTTCAAAAATACCACTTCAAAAGACCTAATCTATCTTTAAAAAATTCTAAATAAAGAGAAGGAAACTAACATTTTTCGGTAAACATACATCGAGCCTATGCTAAAAGAATTGTTCTTTTTGTAAAATAATTTGTTTTAAAGAAGAGTTGCGAGGAAGTGATGAAATTTAATAGGTTTGATTTAAGGTTTTGGAAAGTGCTGGCAATAAAAAAATAAATTATATTCCCAGTTTGCAGTGTAAAAAGATACCCTGAATTGTTTTACTT